GGTAAAGCAAACCGTTATCTGAGTGTAAAATTATATAAAACATTTTAAATAATTAATTTCACAACTTTATAATAACCTTTTAAAAAATTTATTATAAAATATAAACAACAAATTCTTTTACATAATCTACTAATTGATTATATATTTAATTAAATAATTAAAGGTAACATTAAATTGATTGTGTCTTTTTATTGAAAATAAGAAATTAAAAAAATTTTTTTTTAAAAATATTTAAAAGTTTAAAATAAAAAAATTGATTAAATGGCTCATTTATTGATTTGCTTCTTTAAAGCTATTTAACCGTGTCCCTACAAAGGATCGTAACATAAAAGGATCGACACGGCTAAAAACGTTCAAAGGATCGTAACGTCTAAAAACAATTAAAGGATCGTCACGGGCAAAAAGTATTAAAGGGTCGCCCATTAAAGGATCGTCCATCAATGGATCGCCATGGGTAAAAACGTTTAAAGGATCGTTTTTTGAGTACCCACCCAAAAGAAGACGTTTGAGTCCCGTATATCTTTTCGATTCGGCCAAAAGGGGTTAAAAGAGTCTAGCAATCCGCGGAAAAAAGTTTTTGCCGCTGCGGAGGAAGCCGGGCATGTCGAGCGGAACGACGGCCGCCGCTTCGCTACGGTCGCCGCGAGCGAAGCGAGCACGACCGCAGCGAAGCACGGCCATCGTGTAGCGAAGACCATGCCCGGCCTACCCTCCGTAGCAGCACAAAAACAGTTTTTCCAGCGAAGATTCTGTTGGTAATACATAATTATGTTCAGACTCGACTGACTTTTCCGTCTTAATCACCGTTGCAGACTGCGGCATATAACTGCGCTCAAACTGTTGGCACTGAACTGGCTTTATTCAATTTTTGAAAAATGACGATCCTTTGAACGTTTTTACCCGTGACGATCCTTTGATGGACGATCCTTTAATGAACGGCCCTTTAATACTTTTTGCCCGCGACGATCCTTTAACAGGGCGACCCTTTAAAAAACGATCCTTTGTATAGGAGCCTATTTAACTCTGGTGATTTGGCTAATAGAAATAGTAAAAGCTGTTTGATTCATAAATAAATAAAATATCAAAGGAAAAACAAATTTATTCTTTTAAAATGTAATAATTTTAAAAACTTTAAAAACAAAATATGCAAATATTTATAGTCGTGATGTTATGTTCGACAATTATTTAACAGCGATCAGAGAAAACCTTGTCCGCCAGAATACCGTCCGAACAAAATATCACCTTACTAAAACAGTCCAAAGAGAAAAATATGCATCTTCAATGAGTTGGGGTCATTTTGCAAGAGGAAATGAGGAATTACAACAGCGGATGTTGTTACGACTAAGGGGAAGCTTGTTCCAACACTAAATTAATTTGTTCCAATAACTTAAATATTGTAAAAATGATGTATTAATTAGAGTTCGGCAAATAGATTTTACTAGTATCGAAGAGTCTATTAATTATTTCACGAGTCTTTCCTTCAAAATAGGTGTTAAGAAATTATGACACTCTACAAAAAGTCACTAGATATTTAAAGTATTTAACTAAAATCACAATCAATCTGTGAAAATTTGAATAAAATCCGACTGTTGGCCTATGTCTATAACTTTATTCAAAGTTATTGAATTATGGTCCGATGCACCTCGATGAGTTGAGTTGGAACATACCAGATCGTCTCTGATTCGATAATTTTGAACAAGGTTATTGGCCTTGCGATACTTTGCCTGCTCCCATATCTGCCAAGCTTAGATTTTTTAGATTATTCTTTAGTTTATTTCGTATTGTTTAAGAAAATATTTTTGTTATTTTCAATGTTAATACATAACACAATTTGCCGTACCAATCACGAACCTTTAAGTAATAAACCTATATTTTATTCTATTCTATTTATTTTATGAACCAAAAACAATTTTGGCTCAAAAATTTTTTTGTAAATCTGTTTGTTTAATAAAATATTAATAATTTAACTCAACGTGGGACGATAAAACAAGAAAAACAATCTTATTTTTGATAAACATATAGAGATTATTTTGTAAGACTAAAACATATATAGGTAATATTTTGTAAGACTAAAAACTATAAAATCTTGTTGGTTCATATTTTTTTCAAAGTAAAAACAAATAAAAGTATTTTTAACTAATAAAAATATTTTTATTTTATATCGAAAAACAAGTTGTTGATATAAAGTTTGTTTTGAAATTTGAAAATATTTATTGTCGTTGGTGGATTTTATAATCAAAAATAAAAATTAAACAAATAGTAAAGGTAAAGGTTCTAATTTTTTACAAATGCTTTAAAAAGATTAAATTTTCTCAAAATTTAGCAGTTTATTATTTTTTCGCTAATTTTCAACTATATTTACTACTATTTACATAAACCTTATATGTATACTGGCACACAATATTTAGAGTGGTTATCTTCAAATTGTCGGGCACGGGATCAGTTTTTTCCTTCAAACTGGCCCGTGTCGGGTTATCATGGATTTTTCTCTCGAAAATTCTATATGTATTCCCTAATTTTATAGAAATCTTTAAACAATGTTCAACAATTTTAATGGAAAATTTCTGATAATTATGCTCATTGTGGTATTTAATATAATAATTATTAATGAAGCATGTATTGGTCATGGGCAAGATTGCGATCCAACTGCCGAAAATAAAAGAGATTGTTGTGGAGATAACTATTATTGTTTTAATAAAAAATGCACAAAATGTGTTGATAGTGGAAATGGATGTGGAAAAGACAAACCCCCATGTTGTTCACAATTTTGCATGCCAGGAGGAAAATGTAGTTGAGAAAAATATGATTGAGAAACTGAAGTTGTGAAAAAAAAAACAATTAAAAAATTGATTCAAATCAAAAAAATTAAACAAAATTTAGTTCATTTCAAAAATTCACACTGTTTTAGAATAAATCTTTAAGAGGCAAAGTTAAATTAAAAGAATAGATTCTTTTCGGGGGTGCCGGAATTTTCGTCTTTGGAAATTTCGTCTCCAGAACTTTTCGGAACTTTCGTCTCCAACATTTTCGGAATTTTCGTCTCCAGCGGAATATTCGTCTCCAAGGAAATAAACGGAATATTCGTCTTCGCAATTTTCGTCTCCGCTAGGAATTTTCGTCTCCAGAGGAAAATTACCTGTTGACGGAACAACATCCCCCGTTGACGGAACAACATCCCCCGTTAACGGGACAACTTTCCCCTTTGCCGGAACACATCATTTTTCCTCTGGTCCGTCAACGGGTAATTTTACTCTGGAGACGAAAATTCCTAGCGGAGACGAAAATTGCGGAGACGAATATTCCATTTTCTTCCGTGGAGACGAATATTCCGCTGGAGACGAAAATTTCGAAAACGTTGGAGACGAAAGTTCCGAAAAGTCTTGGAGACGAAATTTCCAGCGACGAAAATTCCGTACACCTCTTTTCGGTTGTACCGACAATTGCCGCAACTTTTAACTGTCACTTTTAACAGTCTTACTTCAAAAAATTCATTTATAAAATAAAAAAATAAATTATCGCAATGTTAGAAATAATATCTAATTCATCTAATTAATTTACAACACTTTCCGACAATAGAAATTTCGACAATAGATGATAAAATTGTAATTATTTGTTATGCTAAAAGGACTTAGTGATATAAGAGTATAAGTTAAACTCTGCTCAACCTATATGAAGGGATAAAACGCTGATCATAACTTTATCGAATTAAACAATAAAAAGATATATAATACATATTATCATCGAGACAAATTAAAATAATTAATTAATAGGAGTTAATTTCAAATTTGAATAATTATTATTCTGAATTAATTTTATGTTATTTATACTGTTGACTGTTGTAACCTTCGCTGTTATGTTGGCAGATTTTATTTTAAATGCTGACTTAAATGCAGTTTTATATTCTTGACTGAAAATTATTAGTATAATATTTTGAGGTGTAATTTATAATTAAAAATAATCATTTTATAGGATTAGTAAAGGGTTCTTCGGTTCGGAACCGAACCGAAGAACCGGGATTTTTTGGTTCGGTTTCGGGTTTTTCGGTTCCTGAGTTTCTAATGCTCTCCAAGATCTGACAAACCTGCATGTCAATATTAAAACTTACTTAAATCTGAACAATATAGGAGCATTTGTAGACATAACAAAATTAGTTAAGCAACTCAACCCATGAATTGCTAATGCTCTTTGTGTAACATTAAAATTAAGATGAGGAACTGTTAACCGTATAATGCTATTCATTGATAACCCAATTAAATTTAAGAAAAGAATGATTGATAAAGTTTTTAATATTCGGCGAGTCCATTCATATGGTGAAGCTGGAAATTTAAGTGTTTTTAAGTAATCCTTAGCGACGCTAGGAATCTCGTCTTAAGTCCTGACATGTTAAGGATTTTTCGCTCTTGGTCTCTAGTCTTTCGAAATAAACTGGCTATTAAAATAATTCCAAAAAATATTAATAATAATCCTTTTTGAGGATCCTTGTGGTCAGGATCCTTGTAATCCTTGTGGACAGAAAGAAACATTGAACAATTTTTTACCTAAATTTTGATTAACACTTTTCCAGGAATGCCATTTTAGAACAATCCAAATAATTATATAGTTAGCCAATGTAAGTACATAGAATGAAACGAATATTACATAAATTAAATCAGCGGCCCATCCCCAAGCACATTCATGGGGGACACAGATTACTTGACTTAAATTTGGATATTTAAAAATATTAAAAAAATATAGGTATGTATATTTACGTAGATTCTGGAACAGTATAAACAACTTGATATTGCGCATAAATAATTATTGATGGACTTACTAATGTTGAAATAAACATTGGTATTAAATAATATTTCTTTGCGATTTCGCGAAGGCTATACCTTTAAATTAATTAATAACTTGAATATTTTTGTCCCATGCTAATAACTCAAGGAAATAAATAGGCCACTCTTGATTTTCTTGTACATTGACCTTCACTTGGTCATGCTAAATCCTGGTTAACATATTTGTTATCCAAACATGCTGTTACTAGGGTGTCCTTTAGTCTCTACTACAGCTTGTAATGGTGGGGATGGTGGGTTCACCCCCACAGGGAACGGGGGAAAAAAGAAATTCTTAGTAAAAATAACAAACCATAACGGAAATAAAACACTAATAAGTCTATCCAATGAAATTAAAAACATGGCGGTAAAAGAAGCAGTAAATCCAAATTGGAAAGGAGGAAGAATTTGTAGACAACAGGGGCGTATTGGAATAAATTGATGGCCAGGGCAAAACAAAACGGTGATGGAAACAAAACTAGCTAATTGATACCAAGCAGAGACTAGACAATCAAAAGCTATCAGTAAATGGCATGGAGAATTGAGTGCTCTTTAAACAAAATTGTTGAAAAATTTTTAACAGAATTAGAATTAGTTAGAAATTTAATTTTAATGCATAATATTTTTGAGAAAATTGTGAATATTAAATTGAAATAATCTGGTGGTAATATTCTCATTTTTATATGATTGTAAAGTATTTTTACTTGATTAATTACTCTGTGTAATTATTATTTCAATCTTACTATGGGAGGGGGGTAATCAAAAGGGACGGGTTTATTATTTGAGAGGTTGCTAATAATTAAGTAAATTATCAGTGAATTTTTGTAGGTTTGCTCTGATTTATTCAGATTCCCTTCAAGATTTTTCTAATACAAGTTTTAAATTTTATAAACAAAAAATTAAATTAAACTAAGCTAACTTGGTCTTTGCAGTAACAAAAACCAAAGAAATATTAAACAAAATGCCGATTCCCGAAATTATTGTTCTTAAAACATTTAATATAACCAATTCTATTGGGAGTCCTACTTCTCCATAAATATCAAACAACTTTAAAATTAAAAAAAAATAATATTTACAAATTAATAAAATAATATGCTAACCGTTTGTTGTTGTTGTTGTTGTACACTCATTTTCAGCAATTTTATTTCTTTATAATTATTTAACTAAATTTTATTCTTAAATATTTTAATTAATATTTATTTAATTTTATTTAATTTTACACCTAAATGGATATTAATCTAAAATTATTTTCACGAAACTTCTCAAATAATCTTTTTATTAAAATTTTTATTTTATTTTAAAGAAAATATTGTAGCTTTTTTGCGTATCTTGTGAATTTTTTTGAATTTTTAAAATAAAATGTTTAATTATTTTATTTAACTGAAACAAATTAATTAAAACGAAATTTTCTAATTTTTTCTTAATTTTTTCTTAATTTTTTTTCTAATTTTTTTAAAATTTGTATTAATTTTTAATAAATTCTCAGAAAATGAAAAGATTTCCAGATGTTTGTAGTTTCTTTATTTAAATTTTTATTTAAATTAAAAAATATTGTAGCAATGTCGGAAATTTTTTAAATTTTAAAATAAAATAAATGCCAAAGTTTATTTGGAAAAAAAATTAAATAAAGAAAATTTTAATTATCTAAATTTAGATATCTAAATGGGTACAGAAATAAAAAATCTGTCACGCAAATAATAAATGTTAATTAATTTATTAATTCGTTTATGGTCGAGAAAAGTAAACTAAACATCTGCTCTTATATTTAGAAAAATCAAAGGTGTACTGAAACTAAATTTATAAAACAGAACCCGAGAAGAAAGATTAAACATCTTAAAAAGCGGAAGTGCGCAAACATAAATTAAATCTAATTAAATTATGGTAATTTCACAAAGGGTCTAAAACTGGGATGGGCTTATTTCGCAATTTCGCTTTTCGCATTTGGGTCCGAATGCGAAAATTGTTTCGGCCTTTTTCACGTAGTATTTTTTTGAAAAAAGTTTCGCATTTGCAATTCGCTTTTTATTTTTAGATTTTTCTAAAAGTTAAGTTTTAATTTTTTTCGGTTAAATTGAGAAAGAGTTTAGCCACCGGGGATAAACCTGTGACAATGCTGACAGTAATCGCTCGGCCCTGCTCACACAAATACAAGTACTTTACCACTGAGTTACCGGGGCGATGACTATGTAATGCTTTCTTTTTTATCCTTTTAGATCGCTTTACCCCCGCCTAAGCGTTTTAAATGCGCTAGGTGAATCATCCTTACAATACTTTGTGGAAAGACCGCCCAAACCAGGTTTGGGATGTTTGCAAGTAAAAAGATTCTCTCGATGTGCCAACAAAACGATGTGACGGCATTAAAGCTTATGTATGATGTTTTTCCTTTGAACTTTTTTTCTCGGTTAAAAATGCAAATTGAAAATTTTGATTTAAAAAATTTACTTTTCTGTGGTTTTGTGAGGTTCTAGCCGTAAAATTATGACTTTTAATATTTCCAAAGATTATTATATGTATGTACTTATTATAAAAATTAAAAAAATATGACATCACTTTTTACAAAAATTTTATGTTCATTTTCCTTTAGTTGTAAATAGTGTTTTTCAGCGTCGCCGTCCCCGAAAGTCGGGGAATTTGATAGTTTTTAATTTCCTTGCTCCAAAAAATTTTTTCAGTCCCCGCTCCAAGATGAAATTAGAGAAGGGATAATGTCTACCTTTCCTTATTTTGTTAAATGTGTTAATGATATTTTGTGAATATAAAAAGATTTGAAGAAAAAAACTGTGTGAATACATAGATAAAATTTAAAAAATTTGATGAAATAAAAATATTTTAATAAATTATTTTAGGTGTTTCATGTTTAAATATTCATTTAAAATATTTTTGCTAATAATTTTTAAACCCCGTCAGCTTTGAATTTTTAATAATATTTTTATTTGTGTAGTGTTTTTAAAACAAAAATTTTTTTCTAAAATTAATTGTTAAAATTTTATTAAATTTATATTTACAATGAAAATTATTAATGAAAATAAAAAAATTAATTAATTAATAGGAGTTAATTTTAAATTTTTGTTATTAGTTTGCATTAATTTTATGTTATTTAGACTATTGACAGGGCTAACTTTTGTTGTTTTGATATTAGATTTAAATTTGAATGTAGACAAAAATGCTTTTTTGTATTCTTGACTGAAATTAAAGAAAAAATAATTTTTTTTCCTTTTTAAAAAACAAATATTACTTAAATGTGAACAATATAGGAGCATTTGAAGACATAACCAAACATGTTATACAACTTAACCCATGGATTGTTATTGTCTTTTGGGTAAGATTAAAATTAAGACGAGGAACAATTATTCTAGTAGTGTAATTCATTGATAACCCAATTATATTTAATAAAAGAATTATTGATAAAGTTTTTAATATTCTGCGAGTCCAGTCATATGATGGGGCTAAAAATTAATTTAATATTTAATTATTCGAGAAACATTTTAATTAATTCAAAATTCTATTAAAATATAACTATTTCCGTTCTAATTCTTTATAAGAAGTCGGATTTTAACAAAATAATTTAATAAAACATCTGTGAATATTTATTTTTAGACTGTCAATTTTAAATTTTTGAGTTGAGAAAGGTAAAAAAAACCTGAATATATACAAAGTATATACTTGAATTAAAAATAAGTATTCCAAAAATGGAGAAAAATATAGTTAAGTGGGAGGAAAGAATAATTTATACAATTTTTTACCCAAATTTTGATTGCTACTTTTCCATGAATGCCATTTTAGAACAATCCAAATAATTATATAGTTAGCCAATGTAAGTACATAGAATGAAACGAATATTACATAAATTAAATCAGCGGCCCATCCCCAAGAACATTCATGTGAGACACATATTACTTGACTTAAATTTGGATATTTAAAAATATTAAATATGTATATAAAATTAACAAAGTTGCTGGCCCGAACGGAAATCTGGAGACTTTTGGAAGTAAATTGGTTGGTAAGAATCCATGGGGAATTCTTGACTTTTCCCTTGGAGGTCTCTTCCCGTCAAATAGGAACTTGGAACTTTTCAGCCCTCGGCCGACACGAGTTTCCTTGGGCGTTACTAAACATCAGAGGTGGGTCGAATTTCCGATTTCCGACACCTCGGACTGTCCGACCCAACTCTGCTAAACACTGATGTATCGTATATTATCACTAGTTAATAATATAAATATTTACGTAGATTCTGGAACAGTATAAACAACTTGATATTGCGCATAAGTAATTATTGCTGGGCATATCAATGTTGAAATAAGCATTGGAAGCATATAATATCTCTTTTTAATCTCTCTTTGGCTATACCTTTAAATGAAAATCATCTAGTTAGAAGATTATTTTATACAAACCATATTGGAAATACAATACTCATTAGTCGATCTAAAGATATTAAATACATAGCTGAAATTGATGCTATAAATCCAAATTGGAAAGGGGGAAGAATTTGAAGACAACAGGGGCGTATTGGAATAAATTGATGACCAGGGCCAAACAAAACTGTGATGGAAAGAAAACTAGCTAGTTGATACCAAGCAGAGACTAGACAATCAAAAGCTATCAGTAAATGGCATGGAGAATTGAGTGCTCTTTAAACAAAATTGTTGAAGATTTTTATTAAATATTTTTACGAGATTTTAAAAAATTTCATAATAAATTTTTTATTTTTTATATCCTCAAATTTACAAATTGACTAACTTGGTCTTTGCAGTAACAAAAACCAAAGAAGAATTGAATACAATGCCGATTATCGAAATTATTGTTCTTAAAACATTTAATGTAACCAATTCTATAGGAAGTCCTTCTGATCCATAAATATCAAACAACTTAAAATTAAAATTTTGTTTTTAAATTTTAAAAATGATCGCGATTAGACTTTTGATTAATAAAACTATAAATATTCAAGAGTTCAACATTTTCAAATTGCCAAGCCCCAAATCCATTCATAATTGATCTTAATCCCTCAATATTCTCCATTGGGACTAACATTACATTGTCAAAATTTTGGCGATAAAAATTTCGGTTCCGGATCTGGATATCGAAGATTTATTATTCTCTAATAATTGCTTAACTCTAATAATTAAACTCTAATAAATATTTAATTCCATTCTATTAATCACTAGACAATACTATTTACATATCCCCGCAAATTATTAAAATATAAAACAACAACAAACCGTTTGCTGCTTTTGTTCTTGCTGTGTACTCATTTTATTCAAAATTTTTATTTAAAAATTTTTTAATCAAAATAATAATTTTATTAAAATTTATTTAATTAAAATAATTTATTTAAACAAAATTTTCTTTCATTTTATATACTAAACTTATTTTGAAAAAAAATTTCAGAAAATTAACAGGTGATATAATTTATTTGAAACTGTTCTGTTTAATTTTAAAATTTTGATGAATTATTTAATCATTTTGGAGTATTTCGTGAATTAATTACCTCAATTAATTCAAGTTTATTTGAAATAAAAATTATTTTTAAAAATTTTAATAAAAATTTATTATGGATCTCACGCAATTATAAAAATAAAAGTTACTTTTATTTTATAAAAATTGGTACTTTATTTATTTTTACTTAAACTAAAAATTCTTAAATTGTGTTTATTTATGGAGTAAATTTCTGCAGAAAAATATTAATTTTAAAAATTTTATTAAAAAGAATTTTAATTTTCAGAATTAAAGATTAATCAGCCGATTAATATAATCAGTTTATGCAAAATGAATAAAAAATAAATATAAATCAAAAATATATAAATGAATAAATAAAATATTTATAATGAAAAATATCTGGGCCCGTATCATAAGAACTCGGTCACCTAACGATGGTTACCTAACCATCGTCACCTAACCATGGTTAGGTAACCACAAGGTAGTGGTAAACCGGTATCATAAGAAAACCACGTGGTTAACCACCGTGGTAAGGTTACCTAACCAGCAACCGAGTTCTTATGATACGGGCCCTGGGCCCGTACTATAAGAACGAGTCGTAGATTTGGTACTATAAGAATCTGGTCATTTGCCCAGGTCATTTAACCCATACAGAGAGCCAATTTGGTACTATAAGAGGCTTGGTATTTTTTCTTCTTGCTTACCACGAACCAACCTCTTATAGTACCGACTAAAAATGAGAAAATATTTGGCTGTATCTTGACTTGAAATGCCAAAAACAAAATAAAGGATAATTATCAGACTAAATAAAAAAGTAAAAACTGAATGAATTTTTATGGTCTCTCTTTGATTGAATTCTGAAATTCTTAACAATTTGAAAAAAAACTACTTAAGGAGGTTGAGTCAAAAAAAATTCAGAAAGATAAAAACTTAAATTTTACACCATAAGATAGAGGAGATAATTCTCTATATATAAATTGAGAGAAATTTAAAAATTTCTCAATTTTCCTTAAAGTTATAGAATTTTTAAAAAGCCTGCCACACTTTTAAACGCTAAAATTGGCTAAAAAAGGGGTACCTTGCGGTTTCCCTTATAACTCAAGAAATAATTATCCAAAAATTCTGAAATTTTTATAGCTTATTGAACACACTCTTAAGAATTTAAATTTAAAATTTTGTAATTTTACTATTTTTTCGAACCGAGTTATAGACTTCGGAGCAGGGTCTGAGATTTACCACTCGGTAGGGGTTAAATGACCAAAAAGTGCTTTTCATATGGTACGGGTTAACCAAAGGGCAAATGACCTGGTTAAATGACCTGGTCATTTGACCAAAAACCAGAGGTTTTTCTTATAGTAGCAAAGGTACCTCCGGTAACCGGTTAAATGACCACAAACCACGTTCCTATAGTACGGGCCCTGGTGGCTCAATTACAGTTTATTAGTCCAATAAAATTATATTAGTCCATATTTAATTGTTATAGGAGTGCTGTATCATTAAATGGATAAAATATTGGAATTACTATAGCCAACTTTCAAATCGTTTAGCAACTAAAATTACCGTAGAACCCATTACCCCCCCCCCCTCCCCCTCCTCCCAATATCAATGGAAAATAGGGATAAATGGGTTCTATTATTGATACAATGTATACAAGCTGAAAGGAATTTTAATTAAATTCCACCAGAGCTTTCTGACCTTTCACAATAACCAAAAAATTTTAAAGCATTCATTTGAGGAATAGACTATAACTTTTAAATTTTTGGACAAATATTTTAATTGAACTAATGAACTATAATTGAATACTTGGGCCATAAATCTTTCTTTTAAAAATCAAAAATATTTAATTTTCATTTTTAAAAACAATTTCTTCAAAATTTTCAAATTCCAAATTTTCAATATCAATCGAACAAAAACCTTTCCATTTTTGAAAAATATTTTCAATGAATGAGAGACAGTCTTTTGAAAAATTTGATAATTTGTTGTCACATTTTTTATCAAGATAGTTCTTGATAACTTCTTTTGTTGATTTATAAAAACTTAAAAATATTTTTTAGAATTTTTAAAAATTTTGGAAGTAAAAATTAATTTTAATTAAATAATTACTTTATATCCAAAGGATTATTTTTAACAAGTTTAGCAAGTTTTTGAGCATATTTTTGTCGTGAATTGTTGTCTATGAATGCTTTAATGTTAACTTTTCCATCTTCTTTGAATGCCTCAAGAAATCGTTGGGAAAGGCAATACCCAACAAATTGATGGCCAGAATTCTTGAAAATATTTTTGATTTCTTTAATTTCTTCAACATCTTCTCTATCTTTCGAAATATCCTCAAATATTTTCTCCCAATTTTTTGAAAGAAATTCCATCTTTTCCACGATTATTTCGGCAAAATTATTTTGGTATAATTCATTATTCTTTTCCATGTATTTTTTAATATCCTCAAGTTTTGCTTTAAATTCTTTAGTTTTTGCTGTTATATCATTCAAATTTTTGAAAAAATTATTAACAGCAACTTCGTGTTGATTAAGAGGAGGAACTGATTGGGGATTTGTGTGACTTTCTGTGTGTGACTTTCCGTTGTTTATTGAAAATGACTGTTGGTGTGTTACATCACCATGAGGCTTGTTGCTACGAATTACATCAACAAAGTTTTTGTACTGAGTGAGTAGATCAGTAATTTTAATTTTTAAATTTTCGTATTCTTTTGGGTTGTGTTTATAGTTTAATCTTAAGTTTATGAAAAAATTAGTTTTCATCCCAACACCATTTCTATTATGGGGGAGATCAGATTATTTTTTATTTCTCAATAACCTTCCTGAAATAAACGCCCTACTAACTAACATATATTAATAATAGGGTTTTCGGTTCGGGCCTACGTTCGAGTTATTTTTTATGGACTTCATTTTTCGAGTCTTTTTCAGGCCAATCAAAATTCGAGGCACGACCCGATCTTTCAGACCGGACCGGGCCCCCAACCCTAATTATAAGTAATAATAAACAAGTGTCTAAAACATTTAAAATAAAAATTAATTATTTTACGTGTAATCTAGCGATTTACGATATAAATCATTATGCCATTCAACAATAAATTTGCATTTTTCAATAACATTTTTACTTAAATTTTTTACAAATTCATAAATTTCATATTTCTCTTCATCACCAAAATAGCTCTTCTCTTCACAATTTGAACACATAACCTTAAAAATATTCCAATTATTTCCTTGGTGCTTTTTGTATTTTGAAACTATAAAGCTAAAAGCAAATAATGTTTGGTGACATTTTTCTAAAGAATTTTGAATTTTAAATTGTTTCTCTTCAATACTTGATTGTTTAATATCTTTATTTTTTAACTGAAAATTTTAAAATTAAAATTTAATTAAAAAATAATTTTAATTAAGAATTTTAGAAGTGATATGAGAATTTTATAAAATATGTACATACAAGTCTTTGAAGTAAAAATTAAGAATTATTAATTATTTTATAAATTAATTTACTTTTTCGATTTTAACTTTCATTTCATCATATACATAATTACTATTTAGTTGTTCAAGATGTTTTGAAATAAAATTGAGGACATAATGAGCCTCCGTGAATGTCATTTTATGTTGAGAATGAACTTGCACTTTGAGTGAAAAAATTTTAAAAATAATTTGTTTAAAAATATAATTTTATAAAAGTTATTATTTTTAATCTAGTATTTTGGCTGTTCCCAAAATACATGTTTAATTATGTAAGGAATTGATATTAAGCTAATTTTAGAGTAAAAATCCCTAAAATGCTTGAAATAAGCCTCCCAAAATTAACTAAACATTTTCGGTCATTTAAACAATTTTAACACTTTAATTTAACCAGAATTGTTATTTAGGATTAAAGTTTATGTATGTTTATTAATTTTAAGTTAAATCCAAACTAAATGCTTTTTTAAATTGCTCTAATTCCTCTGATGTTATTCCAGGAATTTTTGGGGTTTTAATTCCAATCATTTCCAACGTCGCAAGATGGAATCCATCTTGTTGTAATGAATGGGCTTTAAATATAGGCAATTAAAATATTATTTTATAAAATAAATGTTAAAATCTTTTACCTAAAAGAAGGAAAAATCCAAACAAGTTAAGGGAATTAACATTTAAACACATAAGTTTTAAATAAAATTTAATTTTTTGGGCAAAGCATATAGGGAGAATTTAGGGAGAATTTTAATTATGCTGTATACATATGTATAATAAGGCAACAATCAATTGTTACACGTGCCTAAATAATTTAAATTTGGGGAGTCATATGTCCCCATATGTCCTATAAGATAAATAAAAATCGATATTTTTGTCTTACCTATGTATTTGAGACCTTTAAATAAATTTATTTGGAAGTCTCTTTATTTTGAAGTCTCCAAGGTTAAAGCTTCCTAGCCAGGATTTTTCTGAACTTTTGTTGTTAAAGTCTTGTCTAGACTAATTGTAATAAATTCTAGACTACTTGTAATAATTTATCTTTACAAAATCTTGAGAAGTTGTTAACGTTATCATAACTTATTTGTGATTTCAACAGATGTTTAAGCTTATTAAATTTTTTAAAATAACTTATGGAATTGTGTGATTAGGGTAGAAATAAATAAAAACCAAACATTTAAAAATTTTATTTTAATTAATTTAGATTAATTTAAACTCACTATATTGTAACTTCCATTCATTAGGCCTCTCAAATTTAAAATTTTTCTTATCAATATAACAATATTTTTGCCAGTTTATTGACAATTTAAATTTTATATTTTTTGTGCAATAATATTTATCCCCATCTTCATTATTGCCATTACAATAGTTAATTAGTTCTTCAACTAGGTTATCGCGTATTTTCAAATAAAAACTGGAAATTTGAATTTTTATTAATTAAAAATATGTATTTAAAAAAAAGGAAGTATTAAAAATTTCTTAAAGGTAATTTTGGTATTAAGAAATCCCTCAATTCCTCACCGCATTGACTTGGCGGAAAATGACCCAAAAAAGTTAAGTAAAAATCCCTCATACGGGATTCCACAAACAAGATATTGCCGATTACTAATATAATATTCCAAAATTTCTACAAAAATTTTTGTGGGCATTTCCATTGATTTTAAAATTTAATAATCCCTACATTTTATCCAAACTTTTGTTTCCCAATATTTCATTCAATTCAGCAGCAAATTCAAGTAAATTTACATTTGTTTGATTTTTAATTAAATTATCAATATCGGGCTTTCCTTCTTCATTAAAAATAATTATAAAACGATTAACTAAACAATAACTAATATTTAAAATTGAAATTTTATTTAAAGGATTATTTGAAGATTTTAAATTTTTTGTTTGGATTTTTTGTTGTTTTTTCCAATTTTTTACTAAAAATAAAAGTTTTTGCATTATTCGTTGAATATAATCTGAAGTAGATTCTTTTATTATTTCTGAGAAATAATCGAAGGATTCTGAATTAAATTGTTTATCTAAATTATAATAAATTAAGAAATAATAAATTATAATTTTCTAATGTAATCAAATAATAGGCATATCAAGATTAATTCTAGGCCTAGAGCTGCCGGACTTAGTAAGGTGCCGGATTATTAAGGTCTCTATCCTGGTTCTAAATCCTATTCAATTTTTTTACATTTAATTAAAAACATTCATAATCACAAAAATACCGTCTAAATTAATCATTTTAAATTTCTCCATAATTAACTTATTCAAATTTAATTCAACAACTAATTTATACAAAGAATACTCAAATTTATCCACTGAAACAAAAAGTTTGTCAAAATAATCCTTCAAATTTAGTATTTCCTTATCTACTTTCAATTGACAAAAAAATTTAAATTGTTTGGCAAAATTCAAAAAAGAAGTTTTTATTGTTTCCAACATCTTTTCAAGTCCCTTTTTGTTATTATTGTTTTTGTTAAAATCACACAAACTTGTAAAATTGTAAAAAACCTCAAAATTATTTTAAATTATTATAAGGGTGTTAATAAATTATAATGCCATTTAGATCGAAATATCCGTTAATCTTGAGTATTTTTAATGTAATACCAAATCTCTAAAGGCAACTATTTATTTCAAATTGATTCTGAGCTTGGTTTTTTAAGTTTGTATATCAATGGAGATCTAAACTCGATTCAAGTGGTTCACTCGTAAAAACCGATTAAGTAAAAACAAATTATTTAATTCCTTCAATACAAACCTTAATTAAAAATGCGGCCTTTCTCTCAATTTCTTTAAATTTATTTTCATTATTTTCTGTTGATTTGCCGTTTAATTTATTTTGTAAGATTTCTAATAATTTTTGTTGTTTTGTTATATCTTTCAAATTTAAATTTATATTGGCTAAAGTAAATTTGAGTAAATAAGCGGCAAGTAAACATTGTTGGATGTGAACACGAAGCTGGATATTTGTTTCCAATTTGGCAAATTTTTCTTTGACAATTTCCATTTGATTTATATTTTTTGGATGTCTATTCAACTGAAAGTTAATTATAACATTACAGTCAAATCTCGATAAGACGTTGTCTCAATTATGTCTCAAGGGATGCTTTTTTGACCACCAATAGCTTTCTGTTATCGGATTTGACCACCGATAGCATGATGGAAAAAAGTTTATTTATTAAAAAATAAATATTTAGATTTTAATTTTGCAATTCCGAAGATATTAATTAATTGTTAAAATATAAGGATCAAATAAAGGAGTTACACATTTATATTTGTTTTAACTATTTTGTTAAAGAAGGATCAAGTCTTTATATATTTTTCTATGTCAAATTATAAATTTTATGTGATAATATTTTCAATAAATATTTATTTTATATCCAAACCTCAATTAATTCTTCATTTATTTCATAATTAATTGTCGCTTTATTTAATGCATCTTCTATAATTTTAATATTAAAATCCTTCTCGTGGAGTACCTCAGACATCGAAACTAGAATGTGATGCGCTTCAGTTAACGTTAGTTTATGCATATAAAAACGATCAACTATGAATTTTAAAAAATCAAAATAAATCAGAAATTAATTTAAATACGTGCATCATTATATAATTCTCCCCATTCCTTGCTTTGTCTTACCAATCCCGGCATTTTTAACATATTTATTCCCATAAAACTTGGATCAGCGAGGTTAAAGCCATCCTCATAAATATATTTATCTAAAATAATTTAATTATAATATTTTTTCATAATTTGTCGGAGTCTTTAATTTACGAACTTTAATATTTCTTCCTACGATATGTAACTGAATTCCCTTCCATTAACTTACTTTGCATTAAAGCCCATTCTTCTGGACGTTCAAAAGTTATATTCTTCCTTTCTATTGAACAATATCCCGCCCAATCATTTATTAAATTGTCTACGTAATTTTTACAAAAATTTTCATATTCAACTTCCCCAGTTTTGCATTTTTTATATATTTTTGCTTCAATTTGGATCAGAATTCTTTTATAGTATCTTAAAATAATATGTATTGCAATTTTAAGGAATCTCAAGATGATTTAAAGAATTTATTAATTATTTGCAATTTTGGGATAGGAGGAATAAACTACTTAATCTGTTTTAATTTTATAGTAAGAGTGAAATTCATATATGTATAATTAGTTCTGGACAGGCATTGATAGTCGTCGTTTTTCGGAAAATCTTCAGATATCGAGATTCAAATTGAAAAATCGAATTGGTAACCTCTCATTTCCTTCGTTCGGACCGATTCTGAACCGACAACCCTAATTGCGAGCAACTTTAGTCTTTAGCAATTATTTTTTAGATAATTACTAATGACTAAATAATTATTTAAATAAACTTTACTCAATATCCACACTTCTTTTGCCCAAAATATTTCCAATTAGAGCTGCATGTTCAGACATAAATGACTGATTTCCTTTAAAAATTCTTATTTTCGGTTTTCCTTCATCATTAAAGAAAATAATAAATTGTTTAACCAAACAATAGCCAACAAAAAAATAACTAATATTTTTAAATTGCTCCACCTGCTCATAATTTCCTTTTATTTCTATAAAGACATACATATTTTCTATTAAATATTTAAATTTTTCTGACAATTGTTTTAAGTAAATTTTATTTTCTTTACTTGCTAATTCCTTTAAAATATTTCTGTTTTCAACCAGAAACTTTTCTTTATCTTCTGAAAAAAATTAAAATTAAACAAAAAATTTTAAGGGTTTTTTTTCTATTTCCTATTTCTCTAAAGTATTTAATTTCGGTTAAATGAATTTAACTTTGATAATCATTTAAGGATAAGGTTTTGCCTCCCCCCCCCCCTCCTAAACCCTACAAACATTGTGATTAGTTGTATTCTAAAATTATTTCCAGCCTTTATGAATTACCCCCTAACCCTTTAATTAATAATTCCAACTTACTTTTATTCATTCTCTCCACTAATTCACTAATTAAATTAATTTCATCTAAATTTTCATTCATCTTTTTAATAAATTTTTGAAATTCATAAACTTTTTCCCCAACTTTATTTAAATATTTTTTTATATTTTGTGAATTATTTTTACTCCCTTTAATAAGTTTATCATTAAAGAAAATTTCAACGTTTTCGTAAGCCTTTTGAATATTTTTCATAATATTGTTTATTGCTTCGAATTTAATCTAAAATAATTTATAATATTTAAATATTTTTAAAATAATATTTAATTATGAAAGGAATTGTGAAAATATGTATGTACTCTGTTTCACCAGATTCTTCAGTTAACCGAACCGGTTAACTGAAGAATCTGGAACCGACAATCTTAGTTTTTTGTTAGGATTTTTTGTTAACAATCCTGCCGGTTCGACAACCCGGACCGAAAATTTCTTAGTTTTTATGGTCGGTTCGGTTATTGTCAAAAATCTTAAACTTTTCATTGGAGAATATCGAGTATTTCCCCAACTGTTAAAAAGTGTTTATTTTCTACTTATTAAATTCCAAACTACCAACCTCAATATCTTCATTATAATATTTATTTTTAAAATCACATTCTGTTCGGAAATTTCCAATTATTTCAGCAATAAAATTAACAGATTTATTATCACTTTTATTCCAAGTTTGCAATGTATTATTTAAATTTTTAAAAAAATCTTTCTGATTATTTTCATTGCTGTTTATATTAAATAATGTAAACTTTAATATTTTTGTAGTAAATAAACATTTTTTTATATTTTCTTTTAATTCATTATTTGTTTTAAATCCGTTAGAATTTCTTTTTAATTCTTCCAAATTATTTAAATTGGATGGTTTTTCTAGCTGTAAATTGTTAAAATTAAATTTTATAAATTTTAATTTTTTTCTTACTTTTTTCAACGAATTATAAAAATATTTGTTTATTTTAATTTTTGTTATTTTTTCGTTTAATTGTTTGAGAAATTCTTCGTTATTTGTTATTTCTTTAATATTTATTGTTTTGGAGAGAATTGTTATAAAATGATGGGCTTCAGTAAATGTTAGTTTGTGCAAATAAAATGAGTAAGCTGAAAAATATTTTTTGTTATTACTGATTTTTTAATTTCTCTTTTTAAATGGTTACATTGTTACCTGTCCCAGTTTACTTGCGAGTAAAGGGAGAAATGGGAGACCATTTTCTTCCCTTTCCGTGAAATTATTTTATCCTTTCCGTATATGCTTTCAGGAAACATCAGAATTATTAAATATCGTCTCCGGAAACATCAGAATATTAAATATACTTTCCGGAAACATCAGAAATATTAAATATACTTTCCGGAAAAATCAGAATTATTAAATATACTTTTCCGGAACATCAGAATTATTAAATATCCCTTCCGGAAACATCAGAAATATTAAATATACTTTCCGGAAAAATCAGAATTATTAAATATACTTTTCCGGAAACATCAGAATTATTAAATATATTTTTCCGGAAACATCAGAATTATTAAATATACTTTTCCAGAAACATCAGAATTATTAAATATACTTTCCGGAAAAATCATAATTATTAAATATACTTTTCCGGAACATCAGAATTATTAAATATCCCTTCCGGAAACATCAGAAATATTAAATATACTTTCCGGAAAAATCAGAATTATTAAATATACTTTTCCGGAAACATCAGAATTATTAAATATATTTTTCCGGAAACATCAGTATTATTAAATATACTTTCCGGAAACATCAGAATTATTAAATATATTTTTCCGGAAACATCAGAAATATTAAATATCCCTTCCGGAAACATCAGAAATATTAAATATACTTTTCCAGAAACATCAGAATTATTAAATATACTTTCCGGAAAAATCATAATTATTAAATATACTTTTCCGGAAACATCAGAATTATTAAATATACTTTCCGGAAACATCAGAATTATTAAATATACTTTTCCAGAAACATCAGAATTATTAAATATACTTTCCGGAAAAATCATAATTATTAAATATACTTTTCCGGAAACATCAAAATTATTAAATATGTTTTTCCGGAAACATCAGAAATATTAAATATCCCTTCCGGAAACATCAGAAATATTAAATATACTTTTCCAGAAACATCAGAATTATTAAATATACTTTCCGGAAAATTCATAATTATTAAATATACTTTTCCGGAAACATCAGAATTATTAAATATACTTTCCGGAAACATCAGAATTATTAAATATACTTTTCCAGAAACATCAGAATTATTAAATATACTTTCCGGAAAAATCATAATTATTAAATATACTTTTCCGGAAACATCAGAATTATTAAATATATTTTTCCGGAAACATCAGAAATATTAAATATCCCTTCCGGAAACATCAGAAATATTAAATATACTTTTCCAGAAACATCAGAATTATTAAATAATTTTTCCGGAAACATCAGAATTATTAAATATACTTTTCTGGAAACATCAGAATTATTAAATATATTTTTCCGGAAATATCAGAATTATTAAATATACTTTTCCAGAAACATCAGAATTATTAAATATACTTTCCGGAAAAATCATAATTATTAAATATACTTTTCCGGAAACATCAGAATTATTAAATATATTTTTCCGGAAATATCAGAATTATTAAATATACTTTCCGGAAACATCAGAATTATTAAATATATTTTTCCGGAAATATCAGAATTATTAAATAATTTTTCCGGAAACATCAGAATTATTAAATATACTTTTCCAGAAACATCAGAATTATTAAATATACTTTCCGGAAAAATCATAATTATTAAATATACTTTTCCGGAAACATCAGAATTATTAAATATATTTTTCCGGAAATATCAGAATTATTAAATATACTTTCCGGAAACATCATTATTATTCTCTATACTTTCCGGAAACATCAGAATTATTAAATATACTTTTCTGGAAACATCAGAATTATTAAATATATTTTTCCGGAAATATCAGAATTATTAAATAATTTTTCCGGAAACATCAGAATTATTAAATATACTTTTCCAGAAACATCAGAATTATTAAATATACTTTCCGGAAAAATCATAATTATTAAATATACTTTTCCGGAAACATCAGAATTATTAAATATATTTTTCCGGAAATATCAGAATTATTAAATATACTTTCCGGAAACATCATTATTATTCTCTATACTTTCCGGAAACATCAGAATTATTAAATATACTTTCCGGAAACATCAGAATTATTAAATATACTTTCCGGAAACATCAGAATTATTAAATAATTTTTCCGGAAACATCAGAATTATTAAATATACTTTTCTGGAAACATCAGAATTATTAAATATACTTTTCTGGAAACATCAGAATTATTAAATATATTTTTCCGGAAATATCAGAATTATTAAATATACTTTCCGGAAACATCAGAATTATTAAATAACTTTCCGGAAAAATCATAATTATTAAATATACGTTTCCGGAAACATCAGAATTATTAAATATACTTTCCGGTAAAATCATAATTATTTTTTCTGGATAATAGGATGAAAACTATCCTGTAGCAAATTTCAAGGGCTTTCAAATAAGCCCAAAATAAAATTTTTATTTCGCCTGTAAGGGGTCGAAAATATTTTTTAAAGACGTCTACCCCCGATTTTCCGTTGATTTTCGGGTTTTCAGATCTCATTGAAGGAATTATATCGGAACTTCATTTCTTTTGTATTTTCTATACACATCAATGGATATGTTTACAGGAATTTTTGTAGATTTTTCGGACCACCCCTAAGGCCAGAAATACAAGTGGCTGTATAGTTATGTGGAGGTAATTTTGGCAGGTAAAGGGGAAATTGACTGAATAAAACTTAATAATTTCTGAAAAAGCATAATAATCGGTCCATTTGCTGCTTGTCTATTATATTTAAGTGTAAAAATTTCCAAATTCATATTTAAGCAGGAAAAATTTTGAAAAATAGGGTGGCTGTATAGTTATGTGGAGGAGTGTATTATTAGGGTGTAACATAAATAATTAGCCCCCCTTGAATATAATATCAATCGACTCTTCAAAACTTGCTACCAGCTTCAAGTAAAATTATGATAATTTTTGTAAGTGGGCAGGTTAGTACCTGCCCCAATATACACACACCTTTTTTTCAATTTTTACCTCCTGGCACCTCATTTAGCTCTCCTAACTTACATGTTTTTTCATAAAAACTCTCCCATTTATCAGAATCCATTCTAGGCATTTCTCTCATTTTCAACTGTAAATCATCCAGTTTAGCTTGAAAGAAGCCTGAATCCTCTATTTCTTCTTCTAAATTATATTAAATTATTTTTTAATTTTCTAGCTTTAAAATTTTTAAAATTTTTGTTAATTCTAAGTAATTTTTGTGATATAAAAATTTTTAATTCAAATTTACCATTAAACAAATCCAAAGCAATTTTGCTTAAATTTATTTGCTCAAACAATTTCAATTTAAATTTTTTCCCCGTCAAAAAAGCATAACCTTTTTTTAATTTTCTTTTCATCCAATTCATTATTTTAACAACTCCTTTACCATAACCATAAGTTATTGTCATTTTTGGATGATAAATATCATAAACTTCCTTTTCTGTTATTTCCACCAAATGTTTATTTTTTCCATTTAATCTTTTAATTGAACGATCAAAAATTAATCTAATCATTTCTTTGTTTCTAATTGTATCTGTAGACCAAAAGTTTTCAAAAAATTCACTTCCAAAGTGATTAGCAGTTATATAACCTATTTCAAATTTGAGAATTTGTGTTGAAGGATTAAACAAAATCCCAATAATTTTTTTGAATAAACTTGATACGGTAATAAAATGAGAGGGAATTGAGGTTAATAGAAAACCAAAAAAACTTAAAACTGCCCCAATTCCCATTGCGTTGATTGCCATTGAGGAATTCTTTTCGATATCCATTGAAGCACTGACCTGCAAAATAAAAATATTTTTATTTTATATATTCATTTAGGGTTGTCGTTTTCGAGCCGGGCCGACGGTCGAGGCATTTTTCTCGAGCTTGTTTTTATTAAGTCAGACCTGTCGAGTCACTTTCGGGCAAACATCTTAGGCCCCACTTGATCCTTTGGTCCGAGTCGGTCCATTTTGGCACTCCTAATTATGTACATTATATTTTTGGATTTCGGCTCCCATGTTTTATCAAAAATTTGCCTAAATCTTCCATTTTCCGACTTAGATGTATCGAGGATATTCAAAAATAAATTTATTTACTCGAATAAATTATATGTAAATAATAACCTTATGTTTAATATATTTACTGAAAGCAACATTTCTTTCCTCGTTAGTAATTCCCATTCCCGTTGTTAAAGAATGAGGTTTATTAATTACAAATAATTTTTGAACAATTTCTTTACATATTTGTTTGTTTTTAGAATTTTCCTCAATTCTATGTTCCAAAACAAGTTGTTCAATACTCGGTTTTGGAAAGAAGCCTTTCTTGTATTTATAATATACCCCGGCACGTAACAAATCTTTCATTACGGAATATTCAAAAGGCAAAATTGCACTAGATGTAGATGAAGCAATCTAAAAATTGGATGGAATATCTCAACATGTACTCCCTTCCTTACCTCATTCGAAAGAATACTTAATCCCAGCATATCCCAATTCGTATCCATTTGTATCAAATTATTCAACAAAGAACCTCCAGCAGCTATTTTCTGTACATTCCAAGAATCTCTAAGATTATTCAAAAATCCTTCCAAAGTTGTTGGGGTAAAATTTCCTCCCTCAATCATTATTAAAAATCTTTGAAGAAATAACGAGTTAGCTAAGTTAACAAATAAATTTGTTATAACAGAATATAATATGAGAGATAAAGGAATATATAATGGTGGACAAGAAATTGCTACAATTGCTAATAATGGTGGCCAAACAAAAACATCCAAAATTATGCTGATTAGGCCAGAGCCTGCTAAATTTATTAGCATGCTGTTTGCTATTTCTTTTGTAACTTCCTTGGCGTTATAGACAGAAAGGAGGATTTGTGCTCCGAGTCGACCACGAAATTCTTTATGCATTTCATCATCATCTTCTGTAAATTTGTTGAAATAAAAAATCAAAATTTAAATATATTGGACTGTTAAATTTAGCAAGTCATTTGTTTTTAAGGGATATTATTTTCCCAAATCATTTCAACCAAAAAAAAAGTATGATTATTTTTCATCAAAGCTTAGGAAAATTTATCCCACTTTTGGGGATCGGTAATCGGAACGGCACATTCTCTGACATTCTCTTACATATATGGTTAATTTAATTTATTTGCTCTAGACTTGCCTTTAATTTCTTCAGAAATAACAATCTCAATTGCTTCTTTTAACTTATAAAAACTTTTAATGTTTTTATCAATATTCAAAAGTTCCTTTTTAAATTTAAAATAAACTTCGGAATCAAATTTTTCTTTATTTTCATTTTTATTTATTTTGGAATTCATCCAATCCCATGCTTTATTAAATATATTTTTTTGTTTATTTTTAAATTCATTATTGAGATAATTTAATGAATTAATTATTCTGTTATGTCCAACTTTATTCTTTTTTAAATTAATTTTGATCTATTAAAAAATAATTAATTACTAATTAATTAATTAAAATCACTACTTTATTTTTTCTTCTATAATTTTTTCTCTTCTCCAATATTTTTTTAATTTCTTTAAATTCTTTATATAAAAATTCTACAGAATTTTCTCTCAATTTTCTTTTCTCATTTTTTATAAAATTATCTGGATTTTTAAAATATTCAACAATTTCCTCGTATTCTTGTCCTCCAAGCTTTTCAAATCGTTTATTTAAAGGTTTTATTTTAACATTATAAACAACATTTTGGAGAAAATCAAAGGGATGAATTTTAATTTTCATTAAATTTTCGAAGATTTTCTCATCAATTTCCACTTTAATTTCTTCATCTAATTGTTTTTGCCCATCCTCCTCAAATTTTCTTATGTATCCTAAAATTAGGTAGATTAATTTTAATTATTATATGTAAGGAAGACTTAAATGGCCTAATATTAAATAATTCCTTACTCTAGAACAACAAAAGTAAAATACCCGACTCCTTATATTTTATAATTAATCCCGCCCATTTTAATCACTTATAAATTGTATCCCTAGTTTGTCAGTTAGTTTTTCTTCCTATTTTGATTATGAATGAGAATTGTATTTTAAATGTGAGAAATAAATATTATTTACAGTCTTCTAGTTTTATTTATGATTATGTTTATCTCTTTCGGTGACGAAAGAATAGTTGAGTTGATCCGATTAGTGGTGAGTGCGCTGGCCACGCACATGCAACCCTCTGCCCAACACCTTCCAACTACTTTATAAAGTGGAGTGAGGTTCACAATAAAAATTAATTTGACTACTTTATAAACAGTTAGAGGTTATTTTCCAGTGGTGAATGCCGAGCATCTTGACGGATTGCGACGTAAGGCACTTACGTAGCGACGCAAAATTAGTATCCCTGGAGGTTTAAGTAGGTTAGGTAGACCCAGAAGATTAACCAGACCCGGGACTTTTTAGGCACACAGATAACCGAAAACCGCGCTATATGTTATAATCGGTTATTCCAACCCTACATATTTTAACTGGTCATAATTTTGTTTAAAAGATCTCAATCACTCTTATTTTTTAAAAACAATTTATACTTTTAAATTTTTTAATTCGTTTTTCCTTCAATTTTATATCAGGCAATTTATCCAACTCTTCTATTAAATTATCTTCTAGCTTTTTTGATTTTTCAGAAATTTCTATTGAAATTTTTTGTTCAATTGAAGTTTTTCCCAGCTTTTCCAAAGACTTTAATTTCTCAAAATTTTCATCCAAAATTTTGTTTTTTTCTTCAAATTCTTCTTTTTTTGTTTTATTTTTCTTATCAATCAAATCATCATTTTTAGTTTTTTTAATTAAATTTTTAGTAAATAACCTCACAAACCACAAATTTTCCAACCAAATTTTTCTTTCAATACTTTTAATTATTTTCCATAAATGTGAACATATTTTATCAAAAATACGTTTTTCTGTCTTTTTTATTAATTTAAGCCGTTTTTTCTCTAAATCAATCTGAATTTTTAATATATTTGACCAGTCAAGATAAACTGCTTCTCCTTCACCAAATCCATTTCTTCCTTTGTAGATTGCTTCTAGAAAAACATTTAATTTATTATTTAAACTAGAGACCGGAGATTTTAGAACCCTGACCTACTCTTGATACTTGATTTCAGTTGAGGACCTTGACCAGCTTCTTATCTTTGAATCAAGGAAGAATCAAAGTCAAGAAAGAATCAAGTGACTCCTAAAAATGCTTTATCTTGACTCTAGATCAGGAGGGCTCTAGATTTACACATTTAAAATTGTTCTAAAATTCCATCAAATACCTAAAATCGCAAATGTCCCCAAATGCGCATTTCCTTCCCCCTCCTCAACTTCAACATGTTTTTCTTCATTTCTAGGCATTTTTTCTTCATTTTCTTCCTCCTTTTTATTAAAAAATATTATTTTTTCTTCTCCACTTTTTAATTTTTCCAATTCTTCCTTAATAACAGTAGTCCCTTCTCGAAAAAGAAATGCCCAAACAAAAATATCTTTTTCCAAAGAAAATTCAACAAAACATTCTTCTTCTTCATCCTCCCCTTCTTCCAATTCTTTTAAAATAAATTTATTATTTATTTTTAACCAAATATAGACATATTCCAAAATTTTGTTAATTGTTTTATTTTCAGAAATAAATTGTTTTGTTCTCAAATCTTTTTTAACTTTTCCCCTAATAATTTCTGGAAGAAAAAATAAATTTTTCTTGGCAAGTTTTGAGGCGTATTCTGATGAAATAAATTCTTTGACATTTTTTATTCTTTAAAAAAAATAAATAAAAATATTTTTAATTATTTTTTTGTTTAATTTAAATCTACTTGGATTGTTTTTGAGAATTTTCTTCTTCCAAAGAGTTTTTAAATTTTGTTGATTTTCTCAAATTTTCGTTAAATTCTGTTTGTTCTTGTGTTTTGGTTAATTCAAAATTTAATAAACAATTAATTAATGAAACAAAAAATAAGAATAAAACAAAATATTTAGATAATTTAAATGTAAACATCTACAAAAATAAAAATTAAATTTTTGATGAAAACTTTCAAAACGGCTCGTTTGGGCAGATGTGTGCTCGTAATCGTACCTCGTATCAGGGCTGAGCCTATATCAGGGCTGGGGTTTTCATCTTTCGCATTTTTCGAATTTTTTAGCGCATTTCGCATTTTGTTTTTTGGTCCGAATGCGAAATTTGTTTTGCCTTTTTCATTTAGTATTTTTTTATTCACTTTTTTCCCATTTCTCAAAAAGTTTCGCATTTCGCTTTTTATTTTTAGATTTCGCCCAGCCCTGCTCCGTATCACTCCTAGCGCTCCTATTTTTGTTTGTGGTTTCATCGACTCCTAACAAGTACGATTAAAAATTTTGATTAGAGCATCCAAGCATCGGCTATAAATAACCGGAGGATAAAGTTTTTATAATTAAATTTTCGGCATTTTTTAATAAAAAAGAGAAAGTGAAATTTTATTTTAATTGTAAAAAATAATTTAAATTAAAAATTATTTTATAAACAAAAAATTATAACGATAGGGCTCTATACATATAATATTTTACATACATAGAGAATAATTCATTATTTATATTGAATTAATATATTGAATTAATTAATTATTCAGCCAATAAATGTCTATTAACAATGCTTAATTATGTCTAATAATGATTGTCTAGACAGAAAATTGAAAAAGATTTTTTTTATATATTTAATAGAAATTGACCTTTTATTAACTTAGAATGTTTAAATTAAAATAAAATTTGAAGTTGAAAATGTTTGGTTTTTATTTTGATAGAGATATTTGAATTAAAAATTCAATTTTGGAATTAATAAACATTTTCTAAAATATTGTAAGGAAGACTTAAATGGCCTAATATTAAATAATTCCTTACTCTATAACAACATAATTAATCCCGCCTATTTTTAATCACTTATAATAAATTTCAGTTAGTTTTTCTTCCTATTTTTATTATGAATGAGAATTATATTTTAAATGTGAGAAATAAATATTATTTACAGTCTAGTTTATATTTTAATTATGTTTATCTCTTTCTGCAACGAAAGAATAGTTGAGTTGATCTGATTAGTTGGTGAGTGCACTGGCCACGCACGAGCATTCCTCAGCCCCAACACCTTCCAACTTTACTATATTTTGTCTGTTTGTGGAGATTTTTCTTTAAACAAATTACCTGTTCAGTTCTGAATATCCAAAAAAATTTTCAAGAACAGACATCTCTAATTATGAATATAAGAAAAAATAAAATAATAAAAAATATTTTCTTTTACTATGTATTACTAATTTATGTCTAATATTTTTAAAATTTATTTCCTTGTCTATCACAGTGTTATGTAATTCTCAATAATTTTCTCTAACATAAAAAATACACTTTAAATAAATAACAAATGTCGAAATAAATAAATCTTTTTGTAGAAATATATTGTAAGGCTTGGGGGATCTTCTTGGAATCGCGTGAAGAGTAAACAAAATTTTATTTATGTTAGATATGTGTGGGTTATTATATTAGCGATCAGTCTTGGTCGGCACTTGGGCGATCAGTCTTGGTCGGCACCTTCTATTTATACACCTGGGCCAACCGTCGCCGCCTATCCTTAATTATTCTCGCCTTTTGCCACCTTCGTTATCAATGTCTTTACTATTCGGATAAACAGTTATTCTATTCTTGTGTTATTCTGTTAGTCACTAGGTAAGACCGCTACACTAGGACATAAGAATTTATTATTTAAATGTTTTATTTTATTAAAAAAATGTAGATATTCAATAACTGTTTGTGGATGTAATGATATTTATTATTAATTAATTATACAAAATAAAATAAGAAATATTTTTAATTATTCCTCAAAATATTTTTTAATTAACAGGAATTTGTCCATTATTTTTATTTAGATTATTTTTAGAAATGTGTTTGACAGTAACTGCAGTTGCAACAGAATTTGTTTTTATTTTAAAAACTTTATGGAAAGCTTGTCTATATTCTTGGCTTTAAAAAAATAAAATTTAATTAAATAGAAGATTTAAGGTATATACTTTGATAAATAAAGTATAGGCCCATCACTAGCCATAACGAAATTAGTTAAACAACTTAAAGAATGTGTAACTATTGTTGATTGTGTAATGTCTAAATCGAGACGAGGAACTGTCATTCTAGCAATGCTATTCATTGAATGACCAACAAGATTAAATGCCATAAGTACAGCGAGGGTTTTAATTATTCGATGAGTCCATTCAAATGATGCTAAAAATATATTTTCGAATACCTGTTTATTTTGATTATTAAGCGGCCTTAAATTAGTTCCACAATCTCTTATAAAATTAGAAGTAGGGTGAAGAGGTCTGGGTGTCTTGAATCTTATACTAAAGTAAATCGTTGGAATTGTCTCTTATATGAGGGATTTTCACGATAACAACAAAACTTTATATTATTTAGATCTCTGGACTATAATCTTATTTTTGGGGGATAAGAGCAGATCAAGAGGCACGCCCAAGTAGGCGCGCCGCAAAAGAAGGCGCAAAGCCATAACTACCAGGAAAATTTCTGGACCTTATCAATTCTGGTACCAATCTCTTTATCTCAATGAGGAATCGCTTATTACTAAATTTGAAAGATTCGGAAAGCATGATTCTCCTACTTGGCCGCCCGCGAGCTATACCCTAAATCAACTACTACACCTTGATTCTGATTTTTATTAGCATGCCATTTAAGAGCAATCCAAACAATAATGTAATTAACCAAAGTAAGGAAATTAATTACAGAAAAGATAAAATAAGACAAATCGCCTGCCCATCCCACAGTACATTCATGTGGAGCACAAATAATTTGTCTTTAAATATAAAAATATTTTTAAAAAGATAAAGAAATTAT